CAGGTATACCACAGTGCATACTATCGGAAGGAAATATGATATTGATTTTTCTAAATATTGGTCATTTTAAGCTTGATCAGTCAGCTAAGGTTGTATTCACCAGTTTCTCTACATTAAAAGTACTCTTTTTACCTTGTAATCAATAAGCATCACTTGGGTATTGAGACTACATAAACACGCTTTTTCTAATTAAAACTTCACCCTCTATATTTAACATCCATAACTGATTCTGGCCTGAAACGATTACTGCAATTGTCTTGGCCAAATGATCATCTTCTAAGGCCATCAATCCTGCTGCATTCGTTGGCCAGCTTCTCCTTTGAAAAGGAAGTTTCCCATCTCCCCTTTTGTTTATTTCTTCATTGATTCACTGATATCTTTATGGACTCACGAATTCTTGTTTATTCTGCCTCATACTCTGTCGCTGTTAATCACTCGAAGGTCAAGTGGTGTATGATTTGCTTGGTTGGAACCGTTGGTGCAGCCTCCTGGGTCCCGGTGATTCAGTTAGCAGTGTTTTACTTTCTGGCTCATTGTCTCATTTCCTGGCCCCTGCTGTGCAATGAACAATTTTGATAAGTAACTTTGGTTTCTTTTAGAGGAGAATGGTGTTTAATAAGCAAATTTAGCTTTAGATGTGCTTAACACTTCTAAGGCTTCTTAACCGCCTCACATAATGGAGCTGGGAAATATAAATATTTTTAAAGCACACACAACACACCATCACAATTAGTCGTTTTCAAGTAGATTCCGACTCCTGACAACCCCACGTATCAGAGTGCAGCTGTGTTCTGTATGTATTTTTTTATTATTGTTATTTTTGTGGCTGAGAATACACACAGCAAAATATACACAAATTCAACAGTTTCTACAAGTACAGTTCAGTGACACTGTTCAGATTCTTAGAGTTGTGTAACCATTCTCACCATCCTTTTCTGAGTAATTCCTCCTCCGTTTACATAAACTCACTGCCCCCTAAGCTTCCCTTCTAATCTTTTGAGTGCCTCTTGTCAATTTGACCCCATAGCAGATAAATCTTAAGAAAGCACAATGCTCAAAGTAAACTATTGTGAAGCTAAATTATTGTTTCATCTTAAGAAGACTTCAGAGTTTTTGGTTTTAAACTTTAAAGGTTATTTCACAGAAATAGTTTTAGACATTCATCCAGCCTCCATGATTCCAGAATGTCTAGAGTCCGTGAGAATCTGAAATTCAGTTCTGGATTTTTCTGCTTTTGGTCAGGTTTCTTCTATAGACTCTTTGATCAAAATGTTCAGTAATAGTAGCTGGGCACCATCCAGTTCTTCTGATCTCATGGCAAAGGAAGCAGTTGTTCATGGGGGCAATTAATCACACAATCCATTTCCTCCTGCTATTGCTGATTTGGGAGCTCTGGTGGCGTAGTGCCTAAGGCATTTGACTGCTAACCAGAAGGCTGGTGGTTCAAGCCCACCAGCCACTTCTTGGAAGGACGGTTAGGCAAATCTACAGTAGATGGAAACTCAAGGAGGGGTTGCTATGAGTCGGATCCGACTCTATGGCAGTGGGTTTGGTTGTTTTTGTTTTTTAATTGCTGATTCTCCTTAATTAATTAATTGCTCAGGTGAATAAAGACCAATTATATGCCATGGATGACCAATATGAGCTTTTAAGTCCCCAGACACTATGCAATAAACTAGGAGGTAGAATGTTGTTGTTGTTGTTATTTGCCGTCGAGTCGGCCCCGACTCATAGCAACCCCTCCTTGGGTTTCTGAGGCAGTATCACTACGGAAGTAGGATTGCCCAACCTTCCTTCTGAGGAGTGGCTGGTGGGTTTGAACCGCCAGCCTTCTGGTTAGCCACTATGCTAACAGAGCTCCCAGGGGGTAGAATAGAGGCACTAAACACATTATTGTGCAAATTAACTGGAATGTCCCATGAAATGATGATCCTAGATGTTCAAATCAAGAAACTAAAATTCTATGATGTATTTGGTTGTACATGTGTAACCCGAAAAGTGTCAGGGTCTGTGACCTGGAGCGACGCAGCCAAAAGTCCACACCAGAGTTCCAGGAGGCAAAAAGAATTTAATTAGGAAGTACACAAAAGAAACAGATGTTGTCTTAATGATCCCAAAGTCATCCACTCTGCTGAGTGCTTTCAAACAGGAGTTCTTACACTAAACGAGGAGTGGGATCCAGCACATATGCCAAGTGACTAATACTTCTTCAAATCAGATAAAACAGTAGATGATTAGTAGAGAATACATTCTGAGATTTCCGGCCTGCCCTCCAAGGCTAGTCTTCTTCCTTCTCTCAGATGGCACCACTGATTATCGTTGTCAGAGTCCAGGTGGCTGATCGCAAGGCTTATTAGTTTTTACTGTAGTAATTGGTCACATCTTACAGGATGCAGCCAGAACTAATGATTATCATTTAAAGGAAAACAAGGTAGTAGATAAAATAGGGGTGAGACTTAAGTCAACATGGAGTTTTATACAAACAATATGGAGTCAGGCATACCAGAGCAAAAATCTTTGTCCTGACACATAAGCAGCCTCAGCAGTGTGTGTGTGTGTGTAATTATTATAAATATACCCATCACACAGCTTTTTCCAGTATAATTTTTTACAAGTGTGCAACTGCTCCATGGGTTTTCAATGGCTAATCATTTCACCAAGCCTTTTTTTCCAAAGCATCTTTGGGTGGACTCAAACTTTCAACCTTCCGTTAGCAGCAAAGTTTATTAACTGTTTGCACCTTTGAGAGACTCTGGTGTAGAAATTAATAAACTGACAGGAATGATTACTCAGAGGGGCTGAGCCAGGAATGGAGTGGAAAGGATATGGGATAAGAACAGACGATACTATATGATACATGAATCTCCATCTGCTTATTGATATGAGAAAATCGGAGTTCCAACTATTCTCTCCAGTTCCAATTTGACACGCAGAGTTCTTTCCACACTTCCCTATTCCATATATTATACCTTGCTCTGATAGTGAAGAGTTGCTTCCTTTTTCCACAATATTTTTACTTATTTTCTGAATCCTAGAATACATGTTAAATAATTTCAGAAACTTGAACCCCAACCACTGTGGAAGGTAAACCTATTAACTGCAGTTCAATACTTATTACAGGTTTATTATTATTATTATTTTATTTATCACGATGGTATAGAGACAAAACACTGTCTAAGAATTACCTGGTTTGTGGTGAGTCCCCCAAGACTATGGCCTCTAGTCACCCTTAGGGCCTGGAATTGAACTCACTTCTGTGGTTCTAGCCACAGAATGTTGTTGTTGTTGTTGTTATGTGCCATCAAGTCGGACCCAACTCATAGTGACCCCTCCTTGGGTTTTCGAGGCAGTAGCACTACAGTAGATTACCCCATCTTCCTTCCAAGGAGTGGCTGGTGGGTTTGAACCGCCAGCCTTCTGGTTAGCAGTCAAGTGCTTTAGGCACTACACTACCAGAGCTCCCAGCCACAGAATAGACAAGCATAAAAGGTGAACATTTATACCAGGTTGGTGCAAGCCTTAGAACAATCAACCATGGGAGATCAGAAGGGCAGCATCTGCACAGCTAGATAGCTCAGAGAGCAGGAGTGCATGAGAATGATATAAAGGTAACCACTGGGAGGAAGTGGAAAGAGATCTCCTACAGTATAGGGGTTGCGATAAATGTCATGAAACAAAATGTGTATGAAGTGTTGAGTGGAAAATGAATTTGTTCTGTAAACTTACACACAAATCACAGTTAAAAAAATTTTAAAAAGAATTACTTGATTATTTTTTTCCTCTTCAGTCTAACGATGTTATTCATTGGCAATATAATTAATTAGGTTAAATTGCTTTATTTTATCCTACTTTCTTCAATTGCCCATTCCTATTTATTTAGTCATTTGTTTGCTTACTTTGGGAGATAAAAGATAATATGATCACAACTTTATACAAAGAGGTATACCCATCTCCCAATCCTTTTGAACCCATTCTCACCTACCTCCTATGGGTAACCAATCTCATTAGTTTACAACTAATTTGTCCTCTTTTGAGGTTCTTTTTGTTTGATGTTTGTTTGTTTCTAAAGTAAGTAGACACATGTTTATTTTCAGCTGGAGAATCTCTTATCTCTCCTCCATGTGGTCTCTTATCTTCCTGCAACCTATCATAGGCTTGTTTACATGATGATCTCAAGGTTCCAAAAGCAGCAAGAACAGAGACTGCTTGTTCTGGTTACCTAGTGCCACTCTGACAAGAAATAACCACAAATGGGATGGCCTTAACAAACAGGAGTTTATTCTTACAGTTTGGAGGCTTTAAGTCCAAGTTCAAAGTTCTAGGCTCTAGGGGCTGGGTGAAAGCCCCTCAACCTTGGGGTCCAGCTCTGCCTCCTGCTCCCAGCCCACTGGAGCTAGAGGCGTTTCTTCACTCAGATAGCTGCAGGCTGCTGAGGCTGAGAAGCCCCAAGGTTGACAAGTCAAAAGACACAGTCCCGATGTTACTAAACCACATGGCAGGCCATTAACTTAAGTCCATTGTAAGTCCCAAGGTCGGCCCAGCATAGCAGGCTGCTGAGCAATGACACAGCTACATGCAGGGTCCAAGCATGCCTTAGGCTAGAGACCATTCTCAAAGCTTCTCCTCATATGCAGGAAGCAGACCACATACCCAAAGGCAGCTACTCAGCTGCTCCCAGTAGATTCCACCATGGAGTTGATTACCAGTCTAATCATGGAGAATACTATATCCAGCTGCCCAGCCACTCAATCAGGCCCAGCCAAGTTGACACAAAAACATAACCACCACACTGCTTAAGCTTGGAATTCTCACAATATCCCAGCTATTACTAGTATACTGCTTGAAGAAACTCACAAGACCTTCCTAGATTAAAGGGGTGGAGAAATAGATTACACACTTAAAAGGAGAGGACACAATCAACCACAGTCACTAAGACAGCATTTCAAGGAGGCATCTCTGAAAGTATCACAAGGAGAACAAAAATCATGAACGGGTAACTGTCACTTGGCAAAAATAATCACCCTTCTGTAAAGGATCCCCAGAGCCAATTTCATGTCTCTGTTCCTCAGGCTGTAGATGAATGGGTTCAGCATGGGGGTCACCACTGTGTACATGACTGAAGCAAATGTGTCCTTGATTTTAGAATTACTTAATGAAGGAAATAAGTAAATAATTATAGCAGTCCCATAGTACAGAAAGACCACAAAGAGGTGGGAGCCACAGGTAGACAAAGCTTTGCAGATCTTCTTGGTGGAAGGGGCCTTCAGGATGGTGGCCCCAATGCTCACATAAGAACCAAAAATAGCACTCAGTGACAGGAGGGCAACCAGTACCCCCTCAGTGAAGATAACTAGCTCATTGAGGGAGGTGTCTGAACAGGTCAACTTCAGAAGGGCCATGAGGTCACAGAAGAAGTTGGGGATAGTGTTGTCAGCACAGAAGGACAAGTGGGACAGGAGAAGGGTGTGTAAAAGGGCATGGACACAAGAGAGGAACCAGGACCCAGTCACCAATGAGATGCACAGCTCATCCCTCATGGTGGTGGTATAGTGAAGGGGATGACAGATGGCCACAAACCTGTCATATGCCATCACTGCAAGAAGGAAATTGTCAAGACAAACAAAAAATAGGAAAAAATATGTCTGTGAGATGCACCCTTCATAAGGGATGGATTTGTCACTAGCCTGCATGTCCATCAACATCTTTGGGACGGTGACAGATGAGAAAGAAACATCAGAGAAGGCCAAGTGGCTGAGGAAGAAGTACATGGGGGTGTGGAGGCGAGGGTCCAGCCTGATGAGCAGGATGATGAGCAGGTTCCCCAGCACCGTGGTCAGGTACATGCCCAGGAACAGGGTGAAGAACATGCCCTGCTGCTCCGGCCGGACAGGAAGCCCCAGGAGGAGGAATTCAGACACGGAGCTCCGGTTCTCAGGCCTCATGCTCTTCTGGGTCCTGAGGATGAAGAAGGGTCAGGAGTCTCAGGAACCTAGGAAGGCTGATCGGGACCATCACCATATGTGCTTGATTTATTACATCTGTGGATGCATGCTTCTTCGCTCTATCCCACTCTGGCTGCAAGACAACACCACACCCAAAATTATCCAACAAGCTGTCATTGAATAGAAAAAGTGAGCATGAACTGCTTTAGTCAACATAACTGATTGAAAATTGAGTCTGAACCCAGAGGCCTGCTAAGGACTGAGAATGCAGCCAGGAACAAGAGGTCACATGCCTGCCCTCTAGGAGACTACATCTTGATGGACATAATGAGATAGTTTCCCACAGCAATGCAGAGCAACAATAATGCACCAGGGCAGAAACTGGAGATGGGCCTCAACAAACAGCATCAGTTGTTTCTGCCTGAAAAACTCCCAGGGCTCAGGCAGAGTTGTGGAAACATTGTCACACTTTTCCTGTGAAGGAAGACTGGGTCCCTGGGACCAAATGAAAACTTACAGACTCTCTAGAAATGAGTGGTCATTTGAAATGTCTTGTCATGACTATAGCTCTCAAATCAGAATAGTTTACACACTATCTTTTATAATAATGGTGAACACTTTGCTGGGAACTATGCTAAGGGCTTTATTTTCTAATTAAATCCACATACCCAGCCTGCACTCCCAGTTAAACCTTCACAGCTGCACTGAGGATCGAGCGCGCCTTCTCCCATTTTAGCTGTTAACCCACGGTCATCAGTTGATTCTGACTCACGGCAACCCCATGTGTTAGCGTAGAACTGAGCTCCATTTTCTCGGCTATAATCTTGATGGAAGTAGACTATCAGGGCTTTCCAATCACAATTTGATGGGTTTAAACTGCCAACCTTTTGGTTAGGAGCCAAGAGCAAATTGCTTGCACCACCCAGGGACCATTTTTAGCTGTTAAACCAAAACCAAACCAACTAACCAAACCAAACAGCGATTTTTAGCTGTTAGGAAATGGAAATATAAATGATACAAACATCCAAAAGCACAAAACAGCAGGTGACAGATATATATACTATATATTTTATATATATAATATATATACATATTATATATATATATATAATATATATACACATATATATATAATATATATACACATATATATGTGAGATGCTGTTGCTCTTGTGTGCCATCAAGTTGGATCCAACTCATAGTGACCCCTCCTTGGGTTTCCGAGACGGTATCACTATGGAAGTAGATTGCCCAACATTCCTTCCAAGGAGTGGCAGATGGATTTGAACCACCAGCCTTCTGGTTAGCAGTCAAGTGCCTTAGGTGATACATTACTAGAGCTCCTATATGTGGGATATATATATGTATAATTTTATATATGTTGGCACAGTGGTTAAGTGCTCAGATACTAACCAAAAGGTTGCCAATTCGAACCTGTGGGCAAAAGATGCAGCAGTCTGCTTTCATAAAGATGATAGCCTTGCGTACCCTATAGGGCAATTCTACCCTGTCCTTTAGGGTTGCTCTGAGTCACAATTCACTTGACAGCACTGAGTTTGGTGAGGTTTTTCTTTTTTCCTTTGTCTGTATATGTTTGAACCATATGTAATTTCTATTTCTGTTGGTTAAAAATTATTAAATATTGGCTACTTCATGCAGTTCAATCAAACGTGTGTATGATGGCAGGCCACGCTCTTAACCACCACATATTAACAGTTTTCCCCTTTGTTCTCTACGTGCATGAGGCACCTTGTATGATTTTAAGGGTGCAAGGAAGCAGAAGTGATCCTGAATTTTCTTAGTTCCAGGCTAGAGAATTCCCTTTATTCATATTTATATACTTTACTTTTAAAAGAGAAAAAAATTTTTAAAATAAAGCTCTTATATACATTATCTTCTATTCAAACCATAAATATTTGTTGAGGACCTCTAACGTCCACATGTCAAGTATAATATTTCCATTTTATACATGAGGAAACTGCTGCCAGAGTTAAGTGACTCAAATGAAAGCCTTACCTAAAATTAAGTTCTTGCTGCTGTTTGGTGATGATTCTGCACTCTAGATTTACCCAATGTGATGGCTAATGTTTCTTGGCATGGGACGTTAAGTAAAGAGAAAGGTTATAAAACTCTGAGAGATTTAGTCACACTCAAATATATGAAAATGATAGCAAATCCTCACACATCCAAAACCCCACATGCACACGGACAGCTCCATTGCCAGAAAACAAAGCAGTACTTGGGCCATTGGTTCTTTAAGTCAATGGTGCTCCAAAAGGAGGACATCAAGGAAATATTTGAGGTCATGGGAGCAAATCAGAAGGCCCAACACATACATACATAAACACACACACATACATACATGCTCACACTCACACTGATTATTTGGGGACTCCACCTATCTGTGACCTAACCTCACCTTAAGGGCAGTATGTGCTTCAGTTCATACCTGGTTATATACATACAAGTCATAAATAACATATAAAGTAAGAGACACACAACACACAATGGACATACCACACAATTCACAAACACACTCATGTACCATTGACATACAGCATGACACACCTGCTTCTCATATGTCACATATACATAATTCAAACACTATAAGCCAAACGAAACTCACTGCCATTGAGTCGATTCTGACTCATAGCAACCCCCTTTGGGTTTCCAAGGTGGTAAATCTTTATGGAAGTGGATTGCCCAGTCTTCCGTCCACAGAGTGGCTGGTGGATTTGAACCTCCAATCTTCTGGTTAGCATTCAAATGCCTTAGGCACCATGCCACCAGTATTCCTTCAAACACTATACACATGCATAAATAAAACCACACAAGGTCACGCAAGTCAAGATATCACAAGCAACACACACAACACACATCCATGCCTACTCACACACCCAACAGGAATAAGCAAAACTCCAAACTAAAAAGCAAAAACAACCCACTGCTGTTGAGTCAATTACAAATAGAACTGCCCCAAAGGGTTTCCAAGGGTGTAAACCTGTATGGAAGCAGACTGCCACATCTTTACCCCACACGCAGCACACTTGGACACAAATACACACATTCGCATTACTGAGAGAGGTGTTTCAAACCTAAAGCCTGCCTGGGAGAAGGCAGTCAGCATAAGACAGCTCCACCTATTCAGACTCAGGCACACTCTGAACCACTACCCATGACCATAGCTCACACACAGACACACACCAAATGCCAAACGATACACATTGCTGCTCTCACACCTCTGTGTCACCCACAAACAGCTCACACACACACTCAGCACACGTAGCTGAGCAGCGATTTGCACCCTCTCTGAGCTGGGGGCTCCTGGGTGAGTTCAGGCATCTTCTTCTCCAGGCGGTGGAGCACAGCACTCCTGGTCCGGACGCTGAGCTCTCGTCCACTCAGCTGTGACGCACGTGGGGGGTGCAGGCCCCTCATCCACAGGGAGGCAGATATTGAAGGTCACAGGCACTTAGTAGGAGTCCCTCAAACACACCCTCAGGAGCCCGGTAACCCTCAGGAGCCCGGTAACTCGATCTACACATGCTCAGGCAGGGCCCAGAAGAGTCTAACTCAGAAAAAGAATCAGGGTGTGAGACAAATGCATAGTATACACAACTATCACACAGCACCTACACAAACACGCACAATGCACACACCCATGAATACAAAGTCACACATCCAAAACCCCACATGCACATGGACAGATCCATTGCCAAGGGGGAGTTCCAGTCCCTCTGACCTGTGCTTGGTGGTGACTCAGACACCTGCTCAGACCGCTGCTCCCATCTTCAGCTTCTGTTGAGGAGACCTGTAACCAGATCAAGACAAGACTTACCTGTGGCACCTGTGCTTCTACAGACTTTTTTGTTCCTTAACTGCTGTAGAGAGAGCTCTGGTGGTGTGGTGCCTAAGGCACTTGATTGCTAACCAGAAGGCTGGTGGTTCAAACCCCCCAGCCACTCCTCAGAAGGAAGACTGGGCAATCTACTTCTGTAGTGATACTGCCTCGGAAACCCAAGAAGGGGTAGCTATGAGTTGAAATCTACTCGACGGCAGTGAGTTTGTTTTTTTTTTTGATTAACTGGCTCTAGAAGAAAAAGAAATGTTTTAATTAGCAGGGAGAGGGCTGACACAAACTCTCCCCAAGCCTCCTGCTAAGGGAGGAGCCTTCATGGGATGAACTGGTCAATTTATTGGTGCCCTTTGGGAAGTAATGTATCCTGGAGCCAGAAACGCTGAACCAATGGAATCATGTGGGACTGTGTCCCTGTTGTCAGGGATGCGTGAGACTCTTTTCTTCTTAGTCGTGGTTCCAGCGGGGATGACAGAATTATTTCATTCTAATTTTGAAAGTGTTTCAGGCTCACAGAAAATTGTTAAAAATGATACAAAAAATTGCTGAATAGCCTTCACCTAGATTGACTAAAATTTAACATTTTACCAGGTTTACTTTACTAGTAGTAGTAGTAGTTTCTATTTAAGATTCCAGCTGCAGATCTGTCCCAAGTATACTCAACTCACTGCCGTCGAGATGGATTGGAGTCATAGCGACCCCTCCTTGGGTTTCCAAGGCAGTATCACTATGGAAGTAGGTTGTCCATATACCATAGTGCATATTATCAGAAAGAAATATTATTATTTATCCAACTTATCCAATTACTGGTGATTATTAAAAAATAACAACAACAACTCACTGCCATCAAGTTGGGTCCCGACTCATAGAGACCCCTCCTTGGGTTTCCAAGGCAGTATCTCTACAGAAGTAGATTGCCCAATCTTCCTTTCGAGGAGTGGCTGGTGGGTTTGAACCGCCAGCCTTCTGGTTAGCAGTCAAATGCCTTAGGCACTAAGCCACCAGAGCTCCCCACTGGTGATTATAAGCTTGGTCAATTGGCTATGGTTGTATTCACCAGTTTCTCTATGCTAAAGTTACTATTTTTACTTTTTTAATCAGTAAGTATCTTTGGGCAGATATTTTGAGACTATATAAACATGCT